TTCATAATTCTTTCATAGAATTTACGATGGATTTTTCATTTAATAGTTCCAAAAGGTGCAACTTATTTATTTCAAAAAAGTAATAACAAAATCATACGGAGCAATTGTGCCAATGTCACTTGTGACATAATGGGATATAGTGGGTGATAGAATTTGGGACCATACATCGAGGACCAATCAGTTTCGATCTAATTCTCGGTTCTGCCTTGAGAACCAGTAGCAAATTCGATTCTCCCGAATTTCTCTTTTTGTTTGCATCAAGATGTACTGGATCTTTAAACAATAGAATCCAAAATTATGTAATATTTTCTTTACACTTCTTTCATTTGATGGGTAATCAAAATTCAAGTCTAAACAATTTTATCAATACTTTACAAATTCATAGCTTTAATGCAACCCAATAAGAAAATATATTTTTAATTCAATATTTCATTATAATTTAAGTTTGTTGTTGTTTCTAAAGTGACCAACCATAAAAAATCAAAATCCTTAAGAATTACTAAAGATAATCAGATTATTGTTTTATGAATTTTCTTAAGAATTAATTTTCAATCGAAGTTTTACCGCTTATTCTTTGTTTAATAGCGTACCTTATTATGGCCTCTGTGGATTGATCTTGAGTTTTGGAGTGAAATTTTTTTATTTATAGCGTTGTTAAATTTATTTTTTATAATGTTAGATTATAAGAATGGCAAGTGATTTTATACTTTATTTTTGTCTATTTTCAATCTGACAAGTAGTTTTATAATTTATTTTTGTAATTTTTAATGTAAAGAACTGAACTGAACTGGAACCAATTGGTTCGATTCCAATTTGGTTCTATATGATTCCATTACTAAAATTTCCATTGGTACTTGGTTCAATTTAGTTCTCTTTAGAACCAAATCGAAGCAAACCGCGGCTGCTCATAACAAGATCCCAAAAACTATATGCTAGTCGTTTGTGCCATTAATAAGTCCATCATTGTATAAAAAGGAACAAAAAGAAAAGAGAAAAACTTTGTATTATAAATAGAAAAGCATGCCCATAAATGTAAGGTATACCATGAGTTATAGATGTTCACCTTTGTGGAGTATGGAAAGGAAACACAGAATTGGCTCAGGGGACCATATCTATTACTTATTGAGAAAATAAAATATTTATAGATTATCTTTTATATAATTTTGAATTGAGTATTTTAATATTTTCACAAAGACATTCAAGAAAAATTAGAGAAAAATAAATTCTCAACAATAATATAGGGAAATTTGTATTTTGTTCTTCAATTTTTTCTCCTCTGTTATTTGACCCTTCTTTTACGTTTTACATGTAGCTTACAACAAATCTTCAAGTTCCCCAAAATGTTCCAAAACTTCATCCTTCAATTCTGTTGATGAAGCTCATATCTTCTTAATAAATCGAATATTTTCTAGGGCCCTAGAGTTCAAAAGTCATAGGAGTGTATTCCTTAATTTTTTT